GGTGTGCATGTCTCTTTTAAAAACCTACCAAAGGGTGAGTCAATTTGGATGTTAGATTCTGGTGCATCACATCATGTGACACCATTTAAAACTGATTTCCTCACTTTTCAAGAATTTAAAACTCCTTCCCTTGCTTCTACTGCTGGGTTAAGTTGAGTTCAATTACTTGGAGAAGGAACAGTGGTTATTCACCTTGAAAATGGGCAGAATTTACTGCTCCATAATGTTGTATACAGTCCTCTGTTCTCAAAGAGACTGTGTTTGAGAAATGTGCTGTTGAAAAATGGGTATCACAGCACTGTGACATTAACCAACAAGGTGATCCAAGCACCAGAAGATGCCTGGATTGTACTTGAGGCGCACTTAGCCTCACCTACTTCACCACTACATTGGTTTGTGGGCATACCACTTCCACCTACCAACATGTACATGGTCCTTTGCCCTCTGGTTAGGACTTCACCAGAGTGATTATGGCATAATCATCTTTGCCATCCTGCCCAAGCTATTCTTTGGCATCTCCAACAATTGGGTCTTCCTGAAATACAAATACAGGGAGAGACTACTTCCTGTAAAGGTTGTGCTCAAGGAAAACTTTCTTCTGAAGCTTTTAAACCTTCTTGGAAATGTGCAACTAAACCTCTTGAACTGGTTCATGCCAATTTACCAGAGCTACCTGTGGAATCTTATTTCCACTCCAAATATATCCTTACACTCCTGGATGACTATTCATCCTTCAGCTTCTGTCTCTACCTTCACAATAAATCTGATACATATACTGCCTTTGCCAATTGGATGGTTTCTGTCCAGAATCAGACTGGCCACCATCTTCTTGTGCTCTGTTTGGATCAAGGGGGAGAGTTTATGGGTTCTACCTTCAAGGCACTCCTTTCTATGTGCAGTATTACTCATCAATTATCTATCAGCAATCAACCACAACAAAATGGTCATGCTGAAAGATTTAACCAAACCATTTCTGAAAAAGCTGGTACTATTCAACATCATGCATGTGTTCCAGAATGCTTCTGGAACTTTGCCTTTGACTGTGCACTCCATGTGTACAATAGAACTCCACTCAAGCAGATTCTCTTCAAAACTCCCATGGAACTGTTTTTAGGAAAATTTCCTGACATTTCTTATTTCTGCACCTTTGGCTGTAAAGCCTTTGTATGGGTTCCAAAAGACCAACAAAAAGACAAATTGGAACCTCATGCTATTGAGATGATTTTCTTAGGTTATGAACCTAATACCAAAGGATATTGTTTTCTTAATGGTCAAAAAATCATTCTATCTTGAACAGCAAAATTCATAGAAGACTCCTTTCCTTTCTGCTTGGATTCTAAAAAGACCGATACCTTTGACCCCAGTTCTGAAAGTGACTCATCATCTGAATCATCATCCAACTCTGAAAGCCTACATTCATTACTGGATCCTGATCAGATCCAACTGCCATCTCATCATCAGCAACCACCTCATCCATTAACACCACCAAACCCACAGCAGGGAAAAGCTGTGGACCAGCCTAGAGCTTCCAGTTCTAATCAACCAATAAGAAGAGCACCTGCTGCTGTACCATCAGTCAATCCTCAAGTTCTTCATCATCCACATACTCCTTATGTTATTCCTGGTGACTCCTGAAATGTTCGGAGAGCACAGCCACAACAATCTGAAGACCAAGAACCATGTCCAAAGCATCAATTTATCCCTGTTTCCCATCCTGGAAACATTTATGGAGACAGACCTACTGTACAGATTGAAAGGGATATTCAACAGAATTGCGATCAGGCTCAACAATGGATTTGAAATGCCAAGCATAATATTAGAGAGAGAGAGAGAGAGAAGAAGCTAGGAGACATTATGATGAGGAGCATAGACCACCTTCACTGGTCTTGCCACCTACCATGGTACCTCCTCAAATTCCTTGTCAGTGGACTGAACATCCACAAGGAACTACTCCTCCTTCTCCACTATCTCCCCTAACTCTGCTTCCTGAATCTCCAAAGGGAATGCCAGATCAAGAAGCAGAGATGCATCCATTTGAATTTGCTCTCACTGCTCACATTAAAGAATCACCTGAACATTATAAAGATGTTCTAAAATTATCTCCTGATTTACAAAAGAAGTGGTTTGATGCTATGAAGGATGAATTAAAGTCTATAGAAGAAAGACAAGTATGGACTTTGGTGGATCCTCCCAGAGATCAGAAACCAGTCAAGTGTCAATGGGTTTTCACTATCAAAAGTGATGGTTGCTATAAAGCTTGTCTTGTGGCTAAAGGCTTTACACAAGAATTTGGCACCAACTTCAAAGATACCTTCTCTCCAGTGGCTCAATTCAAAACTGTTCAAATCTTACTTGCCTTCACAGCCCAGAAGAATTGGGAAATGGAAGCCCTGGATGTTAAAACTGCCTTTTTATATGGCAATCTTGATGAAGAAATTTATATGGAGCAACCAGAAGGTTTTCGAGTTAAGGGTCAAGAGCACAAGGTCTATCAGCTGCTTCAAGCCTTATATGGCTTAAAGCAAGCAGCACTTGCATGGAATAAAGCCCTACATGCATCTTTACTCTGCATGGGCTATATCTGCTCTAAAGTGGATGCTGGAATTTATATCTATTCCTCAAAAGCTGGCATTGTCATTTTCCTCGTCTATGTCAATGATGGATTATTTCTAGGATCAGACAAATGTCTTCTTAAAGTCAAGAAAGAAGAATTCATGAAGAAATGGGAATCCCATGACCTTGGAGAAGTTAAAGAATATCTCAGAATTCAAATTCATTGAGATCAATCAAAGAAAGAAATTTATCTCAATCAAACTCCATACATCAAAAAGGTCATTAAAAGATTTGGAATGGAGACTGCTCAAAATGTTCACACTCCACTTCCTTTGGGGTATCAACTGGAAAAAGCCCCTTCCACTTATCAAGCAACTTCTCAGATCTGCTCCCAGTACCAGTCAATTATAGGATCTCTACTCTATATGGCACTTGGAACTCATCTAGATATTGCCTTTGCTGTTATTTGCATGTTGCAATATATGGCAAATCCCACTGAGGATCACTGAAATAAGGCATTGCACATAGTTCACTATGTTGCATCTACTCCAAAATTAGCACTTTATTATTCTGGACTTGAGTTGCAGATATTCAGTTTTGCTGATTCTGATTGGGCTTCAAATAAAGACACTTGTCATTCCACAACCAGTTATGCAATGTTCCTTGGAACATCCCTTATTTCTTGGCAGTCATGTAAACAGAAGACAGTCACTCTCTTGTCCACAGCAGCCAAATACATGGCTCTCTGTGATGCTGCATGTCAAATCAAATGGCTTCATATGCTATTTGATGAACTTAAACTCCAAACCAAAAAGACCATACTATACTGTGACAATATGGGTGCTCGCTTCATTGCTGAGAATCCAGTTTCAGATGGATTTTCAAAACATATTGATGTCCAATGGCACTATGTACATGAATGTGTACAGGATGGTTTGTTCAGAATTGAATATGCTCAAACTGACAAACAAAAAGCTGATGGTCTTACAAAATCTTTGATGTGGCAAAAATTCAAAACAAATCACTTGTTGATGGGACTTGTTAATCTCCCATTCTAGAGTGAGGGGGAGTGTTGGAAATATGATAATATATCCGATGTACTTACGTGTTTTGATACATGTGTTATATCACATGACTTGCCTTAGCAATCAGCTCCACAGTGATGTCAGAATGACATCACTCATTGCATCATATTCCATAGCATTCTCTGCTATTCTTTACTATACATAGTAACAGTTTCCTTATACATTACTGGTCCATGCATACAGAAACATGTATATAAACTCAGGGATATTGACCCTGACTACTTATCAAATTCCACATTCATTCTACTGTTCTTTCAAGAACAAGAACCCCTACAAACCTAATCTTCAAATCTACCATTTACTCAAGAATAAGGCAAGTGCTCTTGTCTTTGCTCTTCGTACCATAGCCCATCCTCTGTGCAATACATGTCAAGTGAGATATTAGTGGAGTTTGTGGCATCTTGACTATGTTGTTCGAATGCGAAATTTAAGAACTGATTTGACCTTTGGGGGTTGGCAATGGGAGAGTGATAGGTAGGTGGTGCTTCCCTTTGTTTGGCGCAAGCCACGGCTGGCGATTTGGTGGAGCAGGTTGTAAAAGCTCCACACGAGAAGCAAGGACTGTGAGTACTAGTAGTTCGTACTGCACTGAACAATTTGCATAGTACGGGTTCGTCCGTCATTTCGGAAAGTCTGTTCGAACTTTGTGCAAAGTTTCGGATCTGAGATTGGTCGCCGAGCATGAAAGTGCCTTGGATCAAGATTGGACGAAATTCTGGAAAAAGAATCACGCGCTCTAGTGCAGTACAGTCCCTCGCGATACTACAGTAGACGTCTGGCATATGGATCCACAGCTATTCTGTTGTCATTGTGGTGTGTGTGTCACCAATCATCCTCTGGTACTACGAGTCATACTAATCTCAGTGGTCACCGCACAGCCTGCATTACTAGCAAAGGGGAAGCATTTCATGTGCGCTGAAATATATATCAGGCTTCGAGTCCTATAAATTTGTGGCTCCTACTTGATAAGCGTCCCGCGAGAACGCGCAACTCAGTCGCGATGTCGCTCAATCCTTCAACGTGGACAACTCGTATGTACATTCTCATCTCTCATAGCTATCTTTCTCACATCTCCGAAACATGCCGTTCCTGTAAATATCCGACCCCTAAGTTGCCCTTTGTCCGGACAATCGGGAGGTCTTCGCACGCAATCCATCTTCCTATTGCGTAATGTCGGTACTTCTTGCAGAAGGCTTCGCCCTTATCACGCGTAGCGCCCACTCTATGGCCTCAGCTATGGTGTACTCTGGCCTTATTTACCTGTCTTTGCATACTTAAAACCTGCCTTGCTATCATTCAACCCTAGGTTTTCGTACTGTCGAGCGCTTCCAGCGGTCAGCATGGCAACGGGGCCTACGACCACCTAAATCCGCTTCATCCTCTGTCGAAAAATATAGTGGCAAAGATCTTGGCGTGTCCTTTCGTGAGGTTGCTTCAGATCTCGTTGACGAAGCGGAGAAACAGCCTAACTTTACCGAATTACTCTTTCGCAAGCGCAAGCATCTCATTGACCCGGATGTTATCGCCACTAAACGGTCTGTCTTCGATGACACTGTGCTCGCACCACATTACTGGCCCAAGAAGGACTACGAAAACATTCATCGGTTCGACCCGTCTGCCAGGTGGACCTACAGAGAGGAGTGGGTAGGTCCTGCTTGTTTCCATTGCTTGAAGTTCTGTTTCCTGCCCTGCTCATCCAAGGCACTCGTACGGAAGATCGACTGGAAGATCATGGTTATGGCTGCAATAGGATTTTCGTCACTGAACTTAGACCGTTCCAATGTTAATCAGGCCAACTCCTCTACTTTCCTGACGGATTTGAAACTGACCACGGACGGTACGAATAGTACGACCATGTCCTAACCCAACATTTGATGAAGTACTTCCAGATTTTAACCTGGGGAACAGCATCTTCCGCCTCGCTTTCCTCTGCGCTGAGCTACCATCACAACTGGTTTCCAAACGTGTGCGTCGGGAATTATGAATTTAGTGCATGGTACTTGACTTCCGACCATACAGGTTGGACCAGACCGTTGGATACCCACCCAGATTTGCCTTTGGAGTGAGCCCATAGTAATTTATTGGTGTATTTCATCGTTGACCTATTTTAATAGGCCTTGTCTCGCTTTCCCAATTTTGGTTGACAGGAAGAACATCATTCCTTGTGTGCCGTGCACTCTTAGGGTACGTGCTTCTGTATGTGGTTCGGAGGAATTCTCTGAGATTTCGTGGCCAGTGCTTTACAAGGAGGGTTAGTCTGCCAGTGGCGCCAGATAGATTATGGCTCATTCTACCTCCTAGCTTCATTCCTGATCTCGTTCTATATCTGTCCTGTACGTTGCAACTTGCCTGTGGTAGAATCCTGGATGACGTACTCACCACAATCTTTACAGACTTCTATACGAAGACGGAGCTCCCTATTCGCCTTGCTCTGTTCTGGATGTCTATGTACCTGTGTAGCATCGTTGCCAGCTTCCTGGCCTTTGGTATCCTCCATCTTGATGGGATGGCTGGTAAAGCTGGATGGCGGTAAGTTAGTTATTTGTTGGCGACCTGCTGTACCAACACCGTCAACAGTTGGTTGTTTTTGATAGAGTTTGTGTGTCCTTCATCCTTCATCCATGTTGTTTTATATTATCCGCAGAGGCGGGATCACACTTCTCATCGGTGTAGCGGCTTTCTTCAATATGCCCGCTTCTCCCACTCAGACCAAGACGTGGTTCAGACCGAAGGGGTGGTTTAGCGAGAGAGAAGAAATTATTATGGTCAATAGAATCCTCAGAGATGACCCAACCAAAGTAATTAACTTCTCCCCTGTCGCTTGTGCTGTCTGCTCAATTCTACTAGGGTGATATGCATAACAGGGAGGGACTATCGCTCCGGCGTTTTTGGACCGCTATATGTGACTACGACCTATGGCCGCTCTACATTTTGTGAGGCCGATAACTCGATTTGAATGCATGAGCTGATTGTCGTGACGTACAGAGGTCTCATGTTTGGAATCCCCAATAGCCCACCGTCGACATACTTGACTCTTCTGCTCAGAGACATTGGGTGGGAATCACCAGTTACTCTTCTGCTGTTACTAAGAATTGTTAGGTTCAACACCTTCCAGACCAATCTTTTGTCAATTCTGTACCAAGCTCTTGGGATTGTTACGATGTTCTTGATTACTTTACTCTCTGAGCACCTTGGAGAACGTACTTTTGTGGCTATGTTGGAGGATTTATGGACGCTTCCTTTCTTGGTGGCCTTGTACGCTCTGCCGTCGAGGCCTAATCCGTGGATATTCTTTGTCAGTGTATATCGTGGTTGTCTACCTATGCAACACGCTGATCATCACATAGGCTATTGTTACCGGCCTTTTATCTTTTCCGTACGTCGCATGCCTCCTTATAGACCATACGGAAGTTTATCCGCTGTTACATTTCTTCAGCTATACCCACCCGATACAGGTATTCTACAGTTTTTAAAACCTAGGATCTGGAATTGACAACAGTAGGTTGGCTGGTGCTCTCGCAATGCAGGTGGTGTATCTGGTCGTACCGTCAACGCTTCGGTATATAACATGTAGGAATCCTAGTTCCGATATGGTGGCCATGTGAACCGAACTCCCTGCAGGTTTGTGCAGGCAAGCAGTATCATCGCTTCGCAAATATATGTAGCAAGTGATGCACCGAGATGTTCGTTTTTCCTGTCTATGTCTTGGTTGGCATGCTGATCTACGAGATGGCAGACGAACGCGGTAATCGAATTCTTATTATTATCTGTTGTATCAACCTCGGGATTCTATACCCCGGCACAAAGGCATATTACATCTGGCGTAACCGCCGGCGCGATAAGATCTGGAGTAGGATGACAGTCGAGGTGGGTCATCCTGCGTATATCGCTGCCGATACCTGTGCTGAGCCACCTTTCCGAACGCAGGAACGTGACCACTACTTAAGGACCACGAAAGATGTGGGGAACCGAAGGCTAGACTTTCGTTTCGCACACTAGTTGCAGACGATGACGAGCTTGGTAAAGCCTCTAGAGCAAATGAAGGTACATGGTTCTAACTTGGTTTGTGAATGACAGAGAATGTTGTCGACGCGGATGAACTATGTACAACTGCAAAGTAGATATTGAATGCGAGAATCAATTCATACTCCTGAGTGCATCAAGCGAGGACATAGTAGATCGCTATACCTTGCCCGAGACTCCTGAGTGAACTGTTTATTTTTGTTTGGCGTACATATCCACTTTTCTGTACTTGTGTACTTCCACTTGCTCACTACGCGTGCCAACCTGAACTGCATCCAAGTTCAAGTTGTACTCGCCAGGGCCGAACGCCATCGAGGACAAGTATTCCCATCCGAACTTGGAGGAAAATGGCGAGTGACGAGAACAAAGCTTCTGTATCTTCTTCCGATACTAGTCCGCCGACTTCGACACGGGCTACTGGGCTATTTTCGTACGCCCAGCCTGCCGCCCAATCGAAGTTCAGTGCTCTTTCTTCCGAAACATACCAGATTTCATCATGCTAACCACGGGGCTCCAAGGATACCCGCTCTCACAACTTCAGTTCTGTGTAAGCTCTTTTTTCATGAAAGGTTTCTTTGGACGGCAGCCTGACGCGATACTTTGTTACAGTCGCAGCATCAGCTCTCGTTCCACCTGCGGCCCTGGGACAAAACGTGTATCTTCCTCCATATCTCCACCGTGTCGGGTTTTCGTTTATTTTCGGTGGTGTTGCATACGTCTTTTCAACTGGAGATCATAGGAACGGTAGTGGAATTGCTACGGGTATGTGGGACCACACTTTTTAGAGACGTGCTGCACTGTTGCTCGCATTTTTGTATGATACAGCATGGTCGTTGACCTATCTTTTCCTTCATCTGAGGAAGTCGCTCAAAACCCCACGACATCCACTTACGCTTGCCATGGCAGGTGGAGCTGCAGGATGTGCTGCCCTTTATGGCACTGAATACTTTGTATACGAGGATTGATACCATCCCCCTTTCCCCAGCTTTTTGGCAAATTTATACCCCCGTCATCATGAACAGTGGACCTGCAAGTATTCGTGAGTTCTCAAACTTGTGCCCTCCCTCTCCTCTGCTATCTTACCTAAGGGTGTGTCTGATTGAAAGAATGATATCCCTTCTGAAGGATGGGAATAAGTCGAAACTTCCCGCGACCTGATGGTGCACGTCGCATGGGGAGCAGTCACTAATTCGCATGTTCATGAGCCCAGCAGACGAGGCGGACGTTGGCTCCACCTCTTTAGCTTTTCACGACTGGCCCCGTATCACGCGAAGTTAACGGCGGGGCCTGTTGGGGAGGTTCATCGTCGACCGGACCGTATTTCGTCTGACCGACTCCATGGAGCGGTGTGTGGCAGTACCTATGTATGTTCCGAGGGGGGCGGTTGGTGGTATGAATGTCAAATTTTACGTCTCAAGCCACGATGAAATCAATTTTGCTCATTACGAACCCTTGGGCTTTCCGTGGTGCTTCTTTTGCGTAGACAGACCACCATACGCCTGGCGGTTGGGTGTGATCATTTTGGCGGAATTTGTGACGTCGTGACCGTGTTGCCCGTGCACGGAGCGGAATCGGATAGTCGATTCACCTTCGAGCGTTGGTAATCGGAGAGTGGTGTATACGGCGTACCACCTTTCTTTTCTTTGACACTACGGCACTACAAGTAAGCTGCCGATAGCTACTGTGGTTGTGGCGTCATGGAGGTACAGTAGACGTCACAGCCATAGGTATTGCTTGCATTGCCGTTGGCGGAGAAGTCTGTTTGCACAGTAGGAGAGAAGTCAGGAAGTCTACACGGCGGCGCAGTGAACCATTTGCAAATACTTCTGAAGGTCCGTGTGAACGTGGCCCCCTTAGACAGTTCCACATTAGACAGCTTGGAAGAGTCCTCAACAAGAATAACCTCTGCTCAGACGCACAGCACCGCAAAGGGACAGATCATCTGTTGTAAGTGTAATTTAGTTCGTTTGCAAGAAATAACGGTGTGGTGCTTGTGTAGTAGGTGACCCTACTTGCACTAGTACTGCTGTGCAAAAGCCACGTTACTACTGTAGTCTGCAGTTGCGGCAGCCTGCCACCTCGGGTCGACACATAACCAAGGGTCTCCTTGGCGATGGTTAAATTCTAATTCCTTCGCGCCCGAAACGTTCTTCTCTCTTTTCTAATTCACATTCTGGACTGTGAGCACACGTTATATATCGACCAATCAAACCAAAGCCCTGGGCCATCGGCCTTCCGCCTCTTCCCTAACTTTTACGGTCACTATGCCCCCTCCTGCTCCCCCCCTCCTCCTCCTCCATGGCCCAACCTATTCAGCCAGCCGCCACCCACGTACGTGATCGGACCTCGGAAACCAGCCAACCCGCTAGTCACCGTCGAACAAGTGGAGGATCATCTCCAACTTCTCTGCGCATTTCACCGTCTCAGGATGACTGTCGTGGAGTGTAAGGACAACCGCATTCCTAGGTTCGCAATGCGGATGGACAGCGACCGCAGGTGGAGGTGGTTCGTTCACCTCGCTATTGATAGGTATTGGCTTTTTCAGTCTGTCCACGGTCTGTCCCGTATACGACATTCCTCCACAAGGTTTGAGAAATGGGTTGCGGCATTACAGTACGCTGCTGCTGGGAAATTCCTTGCCAAGTATCACCCACCTCTTGACGTCTGCATGGTTTGGCATGCGTATATGCTCTGCCCCAGGTAATAGCTCCACAGACACGTTTCGACTTAGGGGGCTCAACCGGGTACTATATACAGTTGGTATGCCGAGGATTGCGAGCGTCTTACGATGCTCCAATACCTTCGTCCTCTCAACATGTTTGCACTTGGCTCGGTAAGTCATTTTCATCGTTCCCGCCTGAAGTAGTGCAGCTTCGTCTGGATGCTTCCGCAGACGGACACCGAGACATATGCAAGGCGCCAAGCTGACGTATCACGAGCGACATCATGGTATCAGCAAACAAGAACATCTTATGACCCTTTCGAAGACATGACGAGGAGGGCCTATAAACAAATTGAGTGTCCTAGGTGTTGTACAAAAATCTTTGTTCGTGAGTAGCCTCGCGATATTGGCGTTCTATTCGCAAAGAGTCAACTGCGAAGCATTCGTGAACGATAACAGCACGGGCTACGCAGAAAATTTCTCGGCGATCTGTCCAGTTTCTCGATGTCGCATGAAGATCACGAACGAAACGCTCGCCGTCGCAAAGTTCATTCGGGACTTTAACCAGCACTCGAGCAGACACGACTGCATGGCGTATGTCATTTTCCAGCTCAGTCGAGATTTTTACAGACGATCGATAATGCATAGTGGCAGTCTTATCAACTCGTCGGGAAAGCGCGATCCTCGACGGGCGTGGGCAATCAAGGACCAGTTGACACGAGTACTACAGTATTCTACCCGTATGCCTCTGGCAGCAGATGGACGGCTAGCTGGACTCCGCGGGACGAGTGAGATCAAGGAGGCTATTGGTTATTCTCTGGAACGCCTGCGGGACATAGTGACGGCCGCACTGAGAAGCTACCCATCGTCGACGTTGAGTTACTCGGCTTCGTCTGTCAACACTATTGTGACAAACGGTCTACAGAGCGTCGAGAATACTTGGCGCATATAGAGATGGTAGTCCATTTTCAGTGGATCTCTTGGATGCTGTGAGCGGCTTCCTGTGGACTTGTTTACTGTGGCTGACCGTGAATAGGTTCAGCGCCAGTCTCTGTTCACCGAGAAAATGACCGAGCTCGGGTGGACGAAACCTGCAGCATTTCGAGGGCAAAGGGTGCGGGTGTTGAAGGATGCAATTCTGCGATACCATGCGTACGGATGATTCTTTACCCGTCCTTTAGTAGCACTCAGTTGATTCTTAGCTTCCTCGATCTAATAGCCTCTCGACCGAATTCTATGTTCGTGCCAACTTTAGATATCGACCTGGTCTGGCACACCCACCAGCTTATGGCAAGTCAATATGCGTCTGATTGCGAGCTCTACGTCGGTCGTTATGTCGATCAGTCAGTTTTCCGTTCCTGCCAGTCCGAATTTTTGTTTGACCTTTCAAATCAGCGAACTCAGGATCCGTGAAAGCCACCTCTCTGCGGCGTTCGACGAAACTTGTCTCGCATGGCAGGTAATTGTGATAACACCACTCACTTCTACATTTCGTTGACATGGTCTCAGTTGCGCTATCAAGTTCCTTATATGCAATGTGGGTGTGCCCTTCCGGACGAAAGCTCCTGGCAAAAATGTAGGCGACTCGTTCGCCAGCACCTACGCAGCCGAACGCACCTCCAAGTGACTTTGCATCCGGACCACATCCCTGCGACTCATCCAAGTATTCACAATGCTCTATTGAGCTCTCGGAGAAGAGTGGATAATATGCCTGGTTGGATGATAAGTCACAGTGATGAATGTCGAGCGTCGTCGGCTTATAACGCGCGACCGCCGCCGATGCCGATGAGGTCGAGTGGAGTACAACAAAGAAGTCCTTATGAGCCGGCCGGCGCCGGTAAGGTCGAATGGAGTGCAGCGAAGAAGTCCATATGAGCCGACGCCGACGCCGGTAAGGTCGAATGGAAGTGCAAGCAAAGAAGTCCATATGAGCCGACGCCGACGCCGGTAAGGTCGAATGGAGTGCAAGCGAAGAAGTCCATATGAGCCGACGCCGACGCCGGTAAGGTCGAATGGAGTGCAACAAAGAAGTCCATATGAGCCGACGCCGACGCCGGTAAGGTCGAATGGAGTGCAGCGAAGAAGTCCATATGAGCCGACGCCGACGCCGGTAAGGTCGAATGGAGTGCAACAAAGAAGTCCATATGAGCCGACGCCGACGCCGGTAAGGTCGAATGGAGTGCAGCAAAGAAATCCATACGAGCCGCCACCGATGCCGACAAGGCTGAGTGGAGTGCAGCAAAGAAGTCCATATGAGGGTGCCAAGATGGATCGTAGGCCGTCGGGACGTTCTGTGGGCTACCCACATCATGGACGTGGTCGTAACCATGCTTGAAAACTTGTTCTCCGGGCATTTATAGTCTGCATCATGATCAGGAGACGGGATGTTTCGACTTATTCACATCTTTTACATAATGTTATCCTCTCAGGACATCTTTTTTTTTTTACATAAATCAGATTCACCTTTAGGTAAAATAGTTGATGGGCAGGGTATAAGCTTGAGAACTCATTTGCAACTATTTCCAAGTTCATTTTCAGGAGACAAAATTGGCCATAAGTTGGGTATCTCAGAGAGAAGGGGGGATGACATTAATGCTCGTATAAAAAGTATTCAGTGCCATGGATAGCAGCACATCCAAAGCTAAATAAATGTTGGGCCTATTGTAGGGCTCGAGGAAAACCTTCCGCATGCATTGGAAATTAGCAGCACCCTCCTATATACACATTAACCACATCGGTGTGGAACATCACAGTACACGGGCGCGTCGCGATAGTGAATGCTCAACAGGCCTAACAAGATGGATATCACGCAGTACGTCACGACCCAGATAAGACAGGGAAACCCTCAAAAATCCAGAAGATTCAGCATACGTGCCCTTCTCCCTGCTGATGGCAAACAGGGCACCCATGGAGAATCTTTGCTCGGACAACCGACGCACTGTTATACATCAGACATACATTTTGGGTGGGTCATGGTAGGCGGTACTCACAAAGCAATCTTCGCGCTCAGGTCATGAGCTGGAGAGACGCGTAGATTGACATCTAAACCGACATCGACATATCTTGAAAGGTTGTCAGTACCATCGATACAGCTTGCATGGACGATGTGCCGACAAAGAAAGAGTAACAGAAGATCTTGGGGAGAACGTCGCAAGAGCTCCGTACACAGCGGGCATACAGCCTTCTCTGAAGACGAAACTGAGGTCACATATATCACATACCAAAGGCAGAAAAACGAACCACTCAGGAAGAAACCACCGTTCTGGCCTTTCTGACGAATTCTCGCTAGGTCCGAGCAGTCACCGTTCAGTATCCTCTGACAACCTTCCAGAAGCGATATCTGAAGCTGGAAGTCATGCAGAATCTTAATCAAAGCTTCTTTCAACCCCGGTATTTCTAAGCCATTCTTAATTCGTCGAATCAGGCGTATGGGGTCGATCTCTGCGCCGACGTTCTGAATCAGACCACGGATGAATGCTACAAAGTCGTCAGGACGAATGTAAGGTGATGTATGGCATAGCTTACTTGGTCGAGTTTCCGAGTACTTGAGAAGATCCTCCCAAAGATCGTCATCGTTCTGTTCTTTGGCAAACTCGATAGCCTTGCAAAACGAGTGAAGCCAGAATCACCCAATGTTTGCTTCACTTACCTGCTGAACATCACCTATTCTCTCGATGATGAGGGTCAAAGCTTGCTTGTTGTTGCCCATCCGCCCAAGAAGGAAGACCATCTCAGGCACAAGGTCACGGCCTTTGCAAATATCATATGCCTGGACGAGGTGGAATAAATAAACGGAGGCATAACAAAGAGGAAGATACTCACAGCCTCGAGGTTGTAGTAACTACTTGCTCGCAGGTACTCAATCAATCTCGAAGTCGCATATTGCGCAAACAATTTAACTTGGACGTCCGCAAAATCTGAGGCAAGGTTCTGATCTTTCTTGAAAAGTGTATCCAAGTAGAGGAACAAGTAGAACGGCCGAGCACGCAATTGCTGTACGACACGGTCGACCTGTGGGTGTATAGCGTAAGGATCAGTTGAGTCGTGTGCAAAAGACGTACAGGAATCGAATGGGTATGGTCAACCAACATCGAAATAGCTTCGCTTCTGGTCTGGGTGGTATCGACTCCTTCCTCCTCGCGTTTACCATTAAGCTCCTGGTCAAACTCAACAAGAAGTAGCACCTGGTCCTTGACATCCGTGAATAGATTATTTTCACGAATCAGGTCGAAGACGTTGGGTCGGCGAAGTCTCAGGAAGTATTGCAGTGCTTTCCCCGGTTGGCGATTTGCGGTAAATCTATTGGAGCGAGGTCAGAAAGAAAGAAAGAAAATGAGAACGCAGAAAGTGCCCACAGGTCTGCAAGACATTCCATCAACCAAACTGCATCCGCACTAGAAGTTTTCAAAGAGGAGGACATGGGTATTCTCTCCAGCTCCGATTGGACTGCAACAATGACCGACGGTATCTCGTATATCGACTTCGGCCAGTCTCGGATAGTTCGTAGTAGGGCCTGCAGCAGCATGATGATATTAACGAGGGAAGACGACAGGATCTCTGACCTCTTTGTCGTGGCTTATGAAGTAACCTAAAATCATTTCGTATACTAGGTGACTGAGTTGTGGCGCAACTGTGGGTATGAAGGGAATAATAGCCTGCTCTAACCGTCAGAAACGGGGGTACAAGCGAGGGAAGGATGGACCACCTGCAAATTCCTGCTCTGTGCAAATACAAATATCCAGTCTTCCCATCGTTTGACGTCTTGACCGCACACTTTAGGACACAACCGAGCAGCCTTCACGAAATCACCTAGTCAAAAAGCACGTATATGAGTGATCTTAAAGGAAGAAAATTAAAGTCGCACCTTCCCCAACTAAATACTGGAGATAACGTTCACCGATGGAAACGACATCAACCTTGTACCCTGCCGAATCGGAGGTTTGTTCATCTTGGCCAAGTTTCTCGGCTTCATCCAGTGCTTCTTCATACCGCTGACGCTCAACTAGCCATGCGATATGATCTTTTCTATCTCTCGGCCGCACGAAGACGATATCCTTTGGGCTACCAACTATGTAACACCGATCAGTTTCATGGCCTCCCATATCGACCTCAGCAAGAAGGTAATCGTTACATCCCCATGACTGATACCCGGTGACATTAAGTGCATCGGCACTAAGCTCTTCTCCAGTTCGCGAGATAACTCGTAGCTCCGGTCGTTCTGCAGTTTTGCGTGCTTGACGAGCGGGGTCATCCGTCATTTCGTCCCCGAAGTTGTCTGGTGGTTCATATGCCAACACAAGGAACGAGGTCAGAGTAGTGAGAGAAGCGATAGAGCCATTCTCCTTCTTAGGCGCAGAATGTGACATGGGATGCGGAAGAATGCCAGATATCATGCGATCAAGCTGGAGGGCGGCCGTAACTTCGACGATAAGCGATGGGAGGTTGGCATTGGCCGATGCAGTTGTCGTACGCGGACGTGCACGTACCCGAGCGACTTTAATGTGGTCTGCCCATGTAATAAGTAATGTGGTATCGTCTTGCCAGTGCAGTGTGCATTTGAACAGATCAGCTCGAGGGCTATCGGGGCCTCGGTCAATATAAGTAATACGCATGTGGGATTGCGTGTCATAAATCTTAACCCCCTAGAAAAATAAAATAAAATAAAATAGGACGGTGCACATGGGAACACGGAGTAAACCACCAACAAGATCATTCGCCCAAGCGATCAAATGGGACCTCCACCTTACGTTCCAAATAGGACCCTCTCCCGAATGAAGGACGGACTCTTTATGGCCGAGCCAACCTTTCTCCCGTAAAACGAGTGTTCCAGCCATACCACCACAAATGAAGGCACGAGTACTCTTCTTTGCGAAGTTTGGTTCCAGCGCGACAGTACGAATGGGGCGTTTCATGTCAAACATGTAGGACTCCTGTGTTGACAGCGATTGAATCACCACCTGTCCTGGAACTAGTCAGGAGATGCACAGATATCATACTTGTTTGACTCACCATCAATAGAAGCAGTGGCGACGAAGTCAGCCGTGTTGTCCATTTCCATATCACTAATCGACGCCTGATGAGGCTTATATGATTTGATACGTTTACCGGTCATGTCGAGGACGTGCACAATCCCACTATGAGTACCGACGGCCTAGGAGATTTGTCAACAAAGCTACGTTTATAACTCCATGGAGAACAACACACAATGAATTTGTTCGAGACTGAAATTGCTGAAATCGAGTCTTTCCTGAGGAGATCATTGATAGGACCACTCATTCTCTCGTATTTCAAAGTAGGTTCTTCATCGTCATCGTCATCTTCTTCACCCTCCTCGTTCTCTCTGTCGTCTTCATCCTCTCCATGGGCACTCTTGCCGACCCCATTCCCAGTTGATCCTACGGTGCAATCCTCGACATTCTCCTCACCATCTTCACTGTCATCTTCCGTGTCCCTCTCGTGTTCCTCCTCGTCAGTACCAACCACGCTCCCGATCGCGTGACTACTCGGGGCGTGAAGGAGAGAATCCGTTGTGTCGCCCAAAAAAGCCCCATGCCCGATAGGCAAAGCGTTAGACGTTTCCGAGGCCATCATGCCAACATACCGGAGGGCTTGCAAGTTGCCGGTGTGGTTGGACTTCTACCCTGGCGTACTTTATTTGTCCTTGTTTTGACAAGTCAGTCCAGATTAGTTCACCAGTGTACGTACAAGCCATTCTCCACACTCGTACGGGTTCTTGCCTTTGGATCTTTCAGTTTATCTTTGATCTGGGTCTGACGCTGTGATGTCCAAAAGGCGAGTGACATATTACTACGACGGTGTGTGTACAGTATAAAATTACTCCAGTGTCTAGTACTGACTACGGGTAGCTGACGTCGGCGCGTTTACATATGGCCTCGGCCATCCAATGAAGCCTCACAGGATACGGATCACTCACGACCTTGTTTCTGCCTACGGAATGCTCGGGAAGATGCAGGTTTTAGTGAGTATGTCGGGTCTCAAACACTGGTTTCATATGCCAATGGTCTGTCACTGTCCAGCGCCCAAAACGCGCTACCCCAGAATCCATGACCGCGTTCCATACGGACGAGTATATCCACTTCTTGAACCGTGTTGTGCCCGAAACTGCAGAGGAACTTACATTCCATGGGACACGCTGTGAGTTGTTCCTCCATGTCCAGATTGACCTTGTCCTAACTGATGGCACGTGCTTAGTTTTGGTAGGCGAAGACAATCCGGCGTTTGAGGGCGTCTTCGAATTCTGCTCAATATCGGCTGGTGGCTCAATAGGTTCGCACTTGCATCTGGAGCCAATTACTTGTCTTACCGAAGTCCCAGCTGCCGCTCAAAGCATTTCTTCCGGAGCATCTGACATCGCTATAAATTGGGCTGGGGGGTTACACCATGCCAAGAAGCGCGAAGCCTCAGGTTTTTGCTATATCAACGACATCGTACTAGGGATACTGGAGTTGTTGCGGTCCTATCCCCGCGTGTTATACATTGATATCGATTGCCACCATGGAGACGGCGTAGAGGAAGCGTTTTACACAACTGATCGGGTTATGACATGCTCATTTCATAAATTTGGAGAATACTTTCCGGGAACAGGTACCCAGGAAGACAAAGGGAAGGACAAGGGGCGGAATTATACAATCAACGTGCCACTGAAAGATGGAATCACGGACGAGGCTTTCAAAAGCGTCTTCGAACCCGTGAGCCTTTTCACCTCGTATACATGATGCGTCTTATCCTGTCTTTAGGTCGTGTCCAAGATCATGGATGTTTATCGACCGAGTGCAGTCGCATTGCAGTGTGGTGCGGATTCCTTAGCTGGAGACAAACTGGGCTGCTTCAATATAACGATGCATGGTCATGCTAGTTGTGTTCAATTCCTGCGACAGTTTAATGTTCCTCTTATTCTTTTCGGTGGTGGTGGCTACACGGTCAAAAACGTTGCACGTACATGGACGTACGAAACTGCCTGTGCGCTGGGCATCGAAAAAGAGATAGATCCCAATTTACCCTGGAACGAGTACTTCGAATGGTTTGGGCCACGCTACCGCCTGGAAGTCCCGGAGAACAACATGGATGACTTGAACGTGAAAGACGGGTCGTTGGACAAAGTCAGGCATAATGCATTGCAACAGCTATCAGAGATTCCATGCGCCCCATCCGTTGGGATGCACGAAGTACCGAGGGAATCTGTTGGTAAGCATCTCGGCTTGGAGGTCGACGCTGGCAGGGATGAGGATGGTGTGATGGATGACCTGGATCGTCGACTAACGCGTACGTTGCATTTGAGGGGAAAGGTACTGTGGCTAACTTGTCGTTGCAGAGCATGCACGCTATGTGTACAGGATGCAAGAGGCCGCTGCATCAGATCAGTCTGACGACGACAGATATGACTCGGATGCTTCATCACAGAAACGGCCTAGAAAACGAATGAGCATTATCACGAATCGCTACCTTGACGTTGACGCTAGGAAGACCGCTCCCCCACGACGGTTTTTCAGAAGCTCGGCGAAGTGGGATGATATTGGCTGTCGTATCGGGCTTGTGGGAGAGCCAGTTCTTCAGAACGGAGCCAGGCATGGCGGTTTACCTGCGCTGATGGAAAGCGGTGGGCGGGGTACACCTGCAGTCGAGATGAATATGGATGAGGATTGGGAAGACGGGGCATCTGTGTAGTTCTAACTCTTCATTTTTCATATGTACTTACCGCTGTTCCTGGTCTGTATCCGTAGCAAGGCATGCTAGCCCATTACATAATCAAAGCGAACTCTGACACTCACATCAGGAAAATAACACTTTACTATTTTTGACTTTTTGTGACTAATGTGACTTTTTGGGAAGGAATCTACTATCATTACCCACATCCTGCAGGCATGGCTGCACTTTTCTTGCTGATTTTTGTCTTGTTCAAACCACCTAATTCATAGCTTTCAGTAGATACCACATACATTCAAATTGATGGAGGTTCCAAAGAGATATTGTGATTTTTCTCTCAGACAGTGTGCATCACACCAATGGCTCAATATCTCTGAATTTTCAGACATTTTCTAGTCTTCTTGGCTTAGATATATCATCACTTAGTTGTCTCAATAGATTCTGTTCTCTTCTCATTCTTCAAAATGCTGTATATGGTCAAAAAAAAAAGTACAGATAGTAGGTTCCTTCCCAAAAAGTCACAAATAGTCACAATAGTCACAAAAAAGTCAAAAAGAGTCACAAAAAGGTCAAAAATAGTAAAGTGTTAATTTCCTGATGCAGTGAACACTGCCTGAGTCGACTGAAATCTGCATGCGGTTGTGGATGGGCTTGCCTAGTGTATAATGTGTACATTTCGTGGAGGACAGTAGCAGGGGCAGCTCCCGCAGTCGCAGAGTGAGCACAAGACATAACACTGCTAACTGCTTATGAGATCGGGCCACAGAAGGTACTCACTGTATGCTGTTCGAATGGAGTGCTCTGACTTGGAGAACGGCTGACTTCTCCGTGCATTCTCCAGCGTAACCGCCTTCCCTGAAGAGGGGTTGCGGGTTCCTACTTTGGATTCGTTTCGTGCAACCATGGCCTGAAGCTTCCCTGCCAAGAGCAACTTACCATCGCGACCGACTCGACTTGGGTAGCTTGACATTTCTCCTGAATTTCCATCCCCAGTATTCTGGTTTGGTTTGGTTTTACAAATGGCCTGACCTGACCTGTCAGATCTTTCAGATTAATAGATTCGGATGCAATAACGGCTTGAATGATACTGCCAGGACGCATCGATGCGTCGCCGTCGGGGGGGAGACTTCGTCAGCAGTTTGTCTTGGATACCACGGAGTTTCTGGCATGAAAACTGCAGTACTTTGACTTTTATATCAAAGACAAGATAAAGAAAGTATCGGAGGTGGATTGCTGTAACGCGTGCTCCGGCTTGTCCTGTGTATTAACATGTCTCATAAGGTTATTCCACGTCGACTGTCACGATCAGTGGACAGTCGAAAATCTCCGCCCATGTGGGACCGCCTTGTCTCAACAGGTATGTAGTAAGTATTCTCGACAGACTTTACATAAATTAATTTTGATCACTCTGCATTGACCACAAGTCCCCACCTCGCACACCATGACCACCGTATGGGAAGAAGAACTTCAAGCACTGTACACCGGCCTCTACCAGATTCGTCTTGTCAATTATGTTACGCGTAATGAAACTGGTCCTCACCCGATCGACTAGTACTCACTTCTCCTCTGACGCAGTATCTTGCATAGCGTTCCTTGTCCATGACATCTTAACTAACCTCGACAAAGAGGTCTGCCACATTACGTCCTAATCGGCAACCTTCGCGTGCTGAAGTAGCATCTTCCACAGATTCCATTCATCTGGCGGTATTACCACAACACAGATGAGACGTTTGTTTGCTGGCACCGCAGACTGCGTCGCATGCTGGTTCAAGGCCTCTTCATATTCGGTCGTTACTACGCTATTTTTTACCTCGTGTAAGTCACCCGATCCTAGCAGCTACCTCATACTTATAACTCGCACAGCGCGTTTTTCGCTGGTATGGCATTTTCTTCCTCGTTTGTCCTACTATTCAACGGCATTCCAGTTTACAACCACCAGGGCTTCTCTATACCTGTAAGAAAATGGTCAAGCTTTTTGTTTCTCATTGGCTGATGTTATCCTAGTTGTAGGCATTTATATGAGTTAATTTTGTACCGCTGACACTGACACTTTTCATCTATAGTTGCAAGGGCTTCTATTACTACACCATTTTGTAAGCGCTGAGGCATCTTTCTGCATAATTCACTCACAAGCCCTCATGTCTAGCGGTGGTGAAATACTGTACACAACACTTGTCAACGTTATCCTGGCAATGCGTCTGAACGTTTTGTTCCGAATATTCTATGGGATAGAAGGACTCCAAAAATACCAATTCTTCCTTGCCACTCTGGTCATCGGTGAGAGATGATTCGTCCTATGTACATGTTCCTACTGATCCCCGCCAACTGTCACAGTTGAATTTTTGGTTCGTCATACCTTGCAACTGGGGCTCCCACATGCAAACTCACGGGATAACCCCTGCGACCTCTAGGTTGAACTGGTTATAGGCATCTTGGTGGCTATATGGATTCAGGAGAAAGTTGTCGAACCACCCGCAGGAGTTCCTTGGCCGGGCTGCATGCTTAGTGAGAATCCAGGTGATGCATTGGTGCTCCCGAGCTGGTAGGAATTCTTAGTCATGCCACTTAGTATGTGTGACTGATGAACCAGAAGGACCATAGCAATTCTGGTTGCGAGTTGGTCATTTCCCTATCTATGGCCCATTAGAGATCTCACAGTGTTTGACTGTAGCAACACTCTTTGGATTCACGCTACATCTGCTCTTCTCAAGCATGAGGTGGCGACTTAAGAGTTTCAGAGATCTCACGATCTCCAATATAAAAGAAGAGATTAAGAGCCTCCAGCCAACCACACTAATGTTGATTAGAGATGGTGCGTTGTTCTATATCCCGTAAGTGTGGCTCTTCCTATTCTCGCGATGAATGAAATGTCAAACACCATTACTTTGCTGACAGTATGTGTGGTATGTCCATAAACGTGTCATGCCCGAGTCTCAAGAGAACTAACTGCGTACAATTTTGGGCATAGCGATGTTACTTGCCTCGGTTGTAGTCGACGCAATTGACCATAACTTTCTCTCGCTCGTCACTTCTCCGTATGTCACCTTTCTCTCTTAGTCTAGGGTCCAACTTTACATTGCTCGTACAGGATAGTTATGGTGTTATACTCCTTCTGCGTAAGTAAAATGAGAAAATTCGCTTCATAAACTGACCAAAGCGCTGACCGAACGGGGACTAGTCCTCGCGATTCATCATTCACACCCGAGAATGTATTGCCAAATCGGCTGGCCGCTGTCAAGTCGAGGCTGTCGAGCAACTACACCTATCAACATTGTCTCACGGTCACCGATGACATTGAACGGCTCGCCAATATATGCATGGATATGGAAAGCAAGACGGTCGCGCTTCATTTTTCATTTTTCTCAAAAGTCATTTCACTTTTTGTCCAAAGTCTTTCTTCATTTGGCAATTTCCACTTAGCATTTTTTCATTTTTCACTTCGCGGTTTTGCACTTAGCATTTTTCATTTTTTCACTTCGTATTTTTCACTTTGCGGTTTTGCACCTTGCACTTTTTCGTTTTTTCACTTCGCGTTTTTCACTTTGCGGTTTTGCGATTTTCGTTTTTCGCCTTTCCGTTTTGCCTGAACTGACTTTGTCGATTTTTGCAAGTGAAAATTCGTATTATATAAGCCAAAAACGTTGAAGTCAAAGTATCAAAAGCGCGATGACAGAATGTCGCGCGAGCCAAAACATCGAACGAACAGCTGAGTAGTAGCTTGTAACTACGTAGATCTAGACATTTGTTCCTGCAACATGTTCAATGAGCAATAGTAAAAATTTGGCTTCGTTTATGGCCATGCCCCTCCCTGCCAGGAACAAGATGAATTGTTCACTGGAATGACGTCTCTGAGCATCAATAATGAGATCAACGATCTCTACACTATACCCATGAGAGGCGAGAAAACGAGCAGCGAGATCTCTGAGTGGGCGGGCTGACCTTCGAATGGACGTTGTTGGTGTCGGATAGTAGTTGCTGGAAATTATGCCACGTAAATCGCGAATATGACTATAGATGATGGGGGATGGTTCAGCCGGATACGTCGATGAATCAGATCTGGCAGGAATAGAGGTGGGCCAAGAAACTGAGGAATCTTGGCAAACCGAGGGAGAGCTGGAAATAGATGGACGAGACAAGGAAGTGCGAGGCGAGAAGGTGCGAGACGAGGCAGTATAGGATGAAGAAGTCGGCGCTGAATGGAAAGACGAGGTGTTCAGTGAGCGGGACAGTTGTTCACCCAAGGCATCGATTGTGACCTGTGTGGTGTTTGCATTGGCACTAGTGGAGGTGAATAAAGGTGGCATATCTTGTGTGTTGCCTTTGACGATCAAGAAAGCGAAGGCGATCCAAAAAGGCTGCGTTTCCCTGCGTTTACGACTACTAAATCCCCTCTCTGCACGCGACGCGCGTTCTCTACACATGAAGCATGAGGTAAATTGAATAGCTAAGAAGAGGAAGAGAGACTTACGCTGTGCGATGGATGCCAGGGGGCGAACCAATAACAACTGCATAGAAACTTGCTTCATCACTGACTAATGTCCGTACGGCTGGACTGTCGAATGCAGCAAGGAACTGGGAGTGATCTGCACCATCTGGTAATGAATCCGCATGTGATTGAAGAGTATTTATGACCTTTCTCGCCTCGCTCTCTGACTTACACTGGATGGCGAGAGGTAGAGGCGGTGTCCCACCACCGCACCGGATGTATGGACTAACATTCAAGTATTAGCAAGTTCTTTGGTTGATAATTAGATACGTACCAATCCCCTGCACCGTACACCTGTGCACCATGGGTGATCTCTCCAATGGCAGCCCAGTAATAATCATTAGCCATGAATAACGACTTGGCCGTCGCCCAAAATTTTATACGTGAAAGCCTTGTGGGTTGTACCTTGATAACGACATGGACCCATGTGGTGGGTGGGAGACACTGTGCGGTCCGAGCCTCCTCCATAACTGAAGTACTAAAGGGTCATGAGGGAGGGTGTATGAAGCTGTAAGGACTCAGTCCGACGCTGTCGACTGTATGTTGACTTTACCCATAGCAGTACTCTGACATATTTCATGCCTGTTCTCTAGCCTATAAAATGGCCTATGTAGTGTACTGTATGGGGATTCTCTTTTCTACCTCGAATCAAACAGACCTTTCACTCTGGAAACAAGTAGTACTTAAGAAGAACCCTGGTGTGGTGTCATTGCAAGTCCTATAACTTCACATTGCCATTACATATTTTTTTCCTGTCCCAAACAGTCAAAAAAACTCAAACTCTAAACAAACCCCTTCGATACCTTCTCAACCATCCACAGGCTGATCCCCTGTTGACACTCGAGTAAGTATCCGAAAACATCTAACAAAAGAAATGGTTAATACCTATTGAGTGATTAGTGTAACATTCTTCCAATGAAAAGCAGTAACTACCATCAGGTAGTGTTGCATTGTTCATGGTGACAGGGTTGTTGCAAAGAGTGTTGCAACATTTTGTCAACATTTCAACAATCATACTAATTTTGTTGCAGCATGTTGCAACACTCGTTGCAATGTCTATACTACTTTCATTGGAATGTGTGTAGTGCCCTTGCCCCTTTCATTGCAATGTCTATACTACTTTCATTGCAACGTGTTGTAGCACCCTTGCCCCTTTTGTTGCAATGTGTTGTAATGTTGCAACACCCATTGCAATGTCTATACTACTTTCATCATAATGCATTGTAGTGCCCTTCATTGCAATATGTTGCAACACCTTGTGACCACCATATTAATTACAACTTAATTGCTTATCTGCTGGCATATGCAGTTGGATAGCTCAAGCACATTTGCACATAAAAGTATGACATATACATGATGATAAGACAATTTTGATGAAGAGTACGAATTACAAAAAGCTTAAGGAACTGTCTTCCTTTTCCTGGCGTGAACAATTATCATCAAAACATAGCATCCCAATTGAATTGCATGACTTACTTTGACTTCCTTGCCACACCATCCTTGAGTTCAGACCACTTCTTCTTCACCCTATGCACTGCCAAACTGTTCTCCTTATCTGCATCACCTATCATGTTGTCTCACTGGGCACACAAGGATGGGACTGGTTTGCATTTAGGATGGCCTAGTGGAGTGTCCCAAAGTGCCTTGGAGGCTGGTGGTGGAGAGCTGTCATCAGATGGGGTGGGAGGTAACAAAGGCAGGTCTTGTGTCAAGTGCTCATATTGCCCTGCCGTTGTGAAATAGTCCAGATATGGATTGGTAGTACTACCAGTAAGAGACATTAAATGGTTCATAGCATGGACAGTTGCAGGGTTAGAGCTAATGAGGAGTAGGCCATTGAAGTTCCACTGTGGTGTAAACATTGACATCATGTTGGCCTGGAGAATGCTATCCAGTTCCACACTGAAAGAGCCGAAATCCTGTGAAGATAAAAGATGATTGGAAATACCAGAAGGCTGGATACTTGCTGAAGGGACAAGAGTGTGCTCAGGCATTGCAACACTCAGAAGTCCCATGATGGAACTGGGCATTGCAACACATGAAGGTGTTGCAACATATGCTGGAGTTTTGGCTGGGCTTGCAATACTTGGATGCATGGTCTGAATGTGCAGTGGTGAGACGATAGGATAACATGATGTTGCAAGAGCAGAACCTGTGATGAGTTGGGGTGGAGTTGTTGCAACAGACATACCATCATGAGAAGTTGCAACACTTAAATACCAAAGTGTTGAGAATATAAATATGAGAGTGGAAGCATTGCTCAACTTGTCTGAATGCCCAGCATTGTCAACCTCCTGGTCATCATTGATGCCTGAATCATCACCTTCCTGGTCATCACCAATGCCCACATCATCCCCTTCGTTGTCCTTGCCAATGCCTGTGTCATTACCTTCCTGACCCTCACCAATGTTAGCATCATCTTCATCTTCATCATCCATGTTCCTGTGGTTGTCAGGCTTGTTGTCATTGTCACCCTTCATGACATCAGCACCATTGTTTGTGTCACTGCCCTTGTCATGGCCTGTTTTCTTGCTGATGGAGGAGGCTGCAATGACAGGTACATTATCATCTTCCCAGTCAGCATTGTGGCTTTTCTAACTAAAGAATAAAAACTTACAAAGCTTGGAGTCAAGGAATTCCACATATGCTTGCACCACAGTGGAGTCAAAGTGACAGTAAGACTCTGCAAAATTAAGTCCACATCTATTCTTCCTGATGTGAAGGCTTTATGAACACTGTTGTGTGAGCTAAAACACAATTAGTAGTACTTTGCTCACCTTGCAACCACACACTGCTCCTCAGCATCTGCTGGATCTGGCCCACCTATCAGAACTGAAAAGGACCAACTGGTCTTTTGTGACAAATGGGTGAGAATCTGTGTGAGTGCTGGCATGCACTGCTGTATATTACTGAAAGAGGAATGAGTGCTAACTGTCCTCAGTGTCACAGCCAGTGTTCCCACCTTCTACATGTTTCAGCATCAACATCAGCACTGATTTCATTGTCACTCTCACCAGGGGGCATCTTCCTACTGGTATGTTGCTCATTATGGATGCACATAACTTCATCTCGGATCTCTTGAGGTTCCACCCTAAACTTTTTGTTGATCTGATTGTGAAGACTGGAAATGTTACTATCAGTTGAGATGTTGGGCTTGACCTGTGAGGTATAGTACATTTTTGAATAAATTTCCAGCAGCTTTTTTATGCAAGTTTTAGCTTTCATCAAGCTGTTGATAATGGTCAATGTCTTCCTGTTTGCAGCCCGATTTTTCCCAGCTCCCATGTGCCAGTGCAACCACTGTCATAATTGCTGCATGAAATTCAGTGAGCTCTTCCATGAAGTAATGTGATATCGTGGACCTGTTGGTGCTTGGTGACAGCATCTCCAAGGATCTTGTCCTGCTCAAGAGTCAATGATATGTCCAGTGGGAGGTCCAGGAATGCAACAGCCCTCTCAGGCCAGAGTTGCGACCATTGTTTGAAGACAGTTGGCCAGTATTGTGAGTATTCCTTGGTGCTCATACTCAAGTACTGCACTAACTCGTCCTGCAAAAACTTCTTCTGCTTGGGGGTTGTCCATTCCTTCCTTGGCATGTCTACAATGTGATGCCAGTCACTAACCCTAATGTGTACCACACAACAAAATCAAACTTACTGGCAGCTGACAGTTATAATGCAATGGACAGAGAGTCGAGACAAGGTGAGGCATATAAACAAAACATTTTATACTTAATGCATTGATGCAGAACATGCTGATACATTTGTTGCATTCAACAAGGAGTGTGTCAACACATCTTATCTTACACTAGGTGATCTACATTGATTAGGGATCTAGGCCACTGCATTCAAAATGAAAAATTAATGCAGATCCTAAAAGGTATGTGTTGGCAAGTCTTCTGTGTAATATATCAATGTATCTTATGTTACAGATCTCGGTGACTGCAGAAAGCCTCGGATTTGTGGAATGGCCACTGAGCGAGAGTGAAGGCAATGACAGTAATCTGTCTTCATGCTCACATAGCACATTGACATGTCTTCGTACAATGCATCCATGTATCTCATGTACAGATCTTGGCCACTACAGAATGCATCAGATTCACAGAATGGCCACTGAGTAACTATGTGACCAGCATGTAGGAGAAAAGCACAAGAGTGAAGACAGTGATGGCGATTCAGATAAATTGGAGATCTTCAATTATCAAATACCACAAGTCATTCTCAAAACTGTGGCAAGTGCAAGGTCAGCGCATTTGGATAGTGAGAGAACCACTTCATTCTGTAGTACTACAGAGTGTCTAGTGGGTAGTTCTGGAACAATAAAATACCTCTTGTATGCATCCCAGCTACATCTGCACCTTCCATAGCATTCATCAAGAGGACCTCCAGAATTTGTGATACTAAGTGAATATGATCATACATTTCCTTGGTAGGATCATTCAGGTCATCCCAGTGTTTCCATTTCAATGTATGCACTTGTGACTCCAAGCCATCCACCTTAGACAGAACAGCCCAAATTTTTGAATAATCTTCACTATTGACGTAGTTTTGGCATAGGTTGTCCATAAATGAGTGACAGGAGTTCCCTATTATTGCCTTCAGCGAGTGGTTGATCTGATCAATGGAATCTGGCCCAGAGCATGATGAAGAATTGATATGAAACTGCCTATCAGGGTGCAATGAGGCATGAAACTGTTCCAGGTGAGTACCTCCAACCTGCCTGGGCCCAAATCCTTGTTGTTCCTTAGGATTGCTGAAGGGTCTCAGGTTACAGGATATGGGGAGTGGAGTGAGTGTGCACAGCAGCTTAGGGGACGATTCTGTGTCCTATTGTTCACTAGGATCACCGAAGGGTGTCAGGTTATAGGATATGGGGAGTGGAGTGAGTGTGCACAACAGTTCAAGGGATGGTTCGGTGTCCTGTTGTTCACTGGGACTGCTGAAGGGTGTTGGATTACAATATATGAGGAGTGGAGTGAGTGTGCACAGCAGTTCAGGGGATGGTTCTGTGTCCAAATGGATCACCCTAGACTCATAAGAGTAAGTAACTCACTGTGACAACTAGTTAGAAACCTGATCATATGAAGAAGTCTCCTCTGAATGGAAAGAACTCTTAAGCGTCCTTCAGAATAAAGAGAAATAGATTTGATACCTCTGATAGTATTTCATTTGATAAGCCTGAGCAGCCAAAACCTTTTGATCTTGTGTTTTGTATAATTTTGGCCACCCCATGCTGAAGTTGTCAGAATAGTGAGAGCATGTCACTGTGATAGGAGATTTACTATGTATGCCTATTACAGCAGATAACCATATACACACAAATGACTAATCCTAATTGTGTATTTGCTTTGTACCTATTAGCACATTTGCATGTATACCCTTCAGTCTCCAGACATTCTGTAGTGCGAAGAATTCAGACACTAGACAGCACCTCCCAGAATGTCCCAAGACTATCCACCCCATTTAAAGTTGTCAGAGCAGTAAGAGCATGTCATCGTGATAGGAGATTTACTATGTATGCCTATTACAGCAGATAACCATATACACACAAATGACTAATCCTAATTGTGTATTTGCTTTGTACCTATTAGTGCATTTGCATGTATACCCTTCAGTCTCCAGACATTCTGTAGTGCAAAGAATTCAGACACTAGACAGCACCTCCCAGAATGTCCCAAGACTATCCACCCCATTTGAAGTTGTCAGAGCAGTAAGAGCATGTCATCGTGATAGGAGATTTACTATGTATGCCTATTACAGCAGATAACCATACACACAAATGACTAATCCTAATTGTGTATTTGCTTTGTACCTATTAGCACATTTGCATGTATACCCTTTAGTCTCCAGACATTCTGTAGTGTGAAGAATTCAGACACTAGACAGCACCTTCAAGAACATCTCAGGACTTTATACCCATGTGTTCCATGCTGTTTTGTTTCATATTCCCAGTCTGATAGTTAGATTTTGCAGAGTCATGCACATGTTTAGGCAAAAATCAGTTGTTAATTTGTGTATACAACTAATAATGTTCAAGCAAAAGTCAGCACAAGATGGATCACTGTAACTGAATCAAACACCACAAATACAAAGCCTCCACCATGGCAAGGCCATGTTGCAAAAGTCAAAGAGCAAATACATGGTCACTTAATGTGCCATTACGTGCACATATAATAGTGTCAATAGCCTCACACATATAGCCATGAGCAGTGAGATATTGTGCCACATGAGCACCAAGCACCTGGGCATGAATATAGGTAGCTGTATTTTCAGAGTAGTGGTGGCGACTTTCTGTGATCCCCCTAAGACTCCATATGTGTGCATATATAATTGGGCTTGTACAAGATCCAGAATCATGCCAAATTGGAGGTGGAGCTGAGGTCAAAGTGAGAAGTTGGATGTTGACAAAGGACAACATCATCCACCCACCACTCACAGAATGTCCACACCCTTGAGAAGGCATGGATTGGGTCAGTCGAGGGGCCACAATGTCAGCATCTTGAAGGCCTATTTGTGGTAAGCGCACAACATCAGTGGGGAGAATAGTATATGACACTAACTGGTGGATTCAGCTACTTCGTCTACTGTCATCACTCATGGTAGTTGATCCTCAATGCCCTTCACTGCCATATACACTAAGGCCTCATGAAGTGTGTCAGTCCATTTCCATTTTGCCCAATGAAATGAGCTCCCTGCATGAGTGGCTAGTCAGGGAGAATTTGTAGTATGAGACACTTACTCAGTGCAATGAACACTGGGGGGGTTTCCAACAACAACTGCATAGAAACTATCACCTGTGTCTTTGAGGAGGTCTCAAACTGCTGGCAACTTGTTGAGGAAGGTGACCAAGTCATGGATGGTTGGTTCAGGTAGTATTGGTTGTAAGATGCTATCCAATGTTTGCATGACAAGTTTTGCCTTGTCCATGGAAGTACACTTGATGGCGATGGGGAGTGGAGGTGATGACCTCCCAAAAAGGATATATGGACTATAATGATGCAGTTTTCCATCATTATCTGTATGCATTAGTCAGTTGAAGAGTCTGACTCACCACCCATGGTAAATGCCAGGTTTGGTCCCACCTATGATTACCCACCAAGACATTGTAGTGCATGGCAGGTGATTCTAGTCTCATGCTCTCTCATTTTATAACCAGTCCACTATCTAAGCACCATCTCCAGGCTTCAATTAGTCCTCAGATTGCATAACCTCAGGTGCCAAATGCTAAGTGCAGTGTGCAATTTGCCATTGCCAAAGTCCACAGTCTGCAGTCTGGGGAATGCTTGTGCTCCATGTTACACAAACTTCTTCAGAGGTGAGTGATTAGGAAAGAAGCATCACTGAAAAACCCTGAGGATGAATTGATGATGTCCGATCACCTGCCATTTCGCCAGGATTTTGCCTTATAAGTTTTAACTTTAATCCTGAAGATCAACATACTGCAAACCCTGAGGATGTCCAACCACCTGTTGCATCGCCATTGTCAAGATTAACCCTGAAGATTGACATGTACATTCCTTTAACTTTAAATCCAAGGCTAGATGACAAGCATGTTACTATAGGTCAGGTATTTATTACAGCAGTTGCACGTTCAGCTTACTTTCAACCCCCCTTCCCTACTTGTCCTTTGTTACTGGTATTGAGTCACTGTTTATCATGCTGCATAAATGCATCAAGCTGATATTGCTGAATGAAATGGGACTCCACAGTTTCTCTATTTCATATGTGCACAAGGAACCAGCCATAATGGTATGTGTAATGATGTTTGCATGAGCATGAGATGACTGACTTACCCCTCTCAAGACATTTCAGATTCTTATCAATGACTCCAACGACAGCAATTCTCCAACTGATACTAAGGTTCTGGTGGCGTCCAATGTCACCCAGGATGTTACCAAGGAGGAGGTGTCATTGGTGAGCATTCCGTTCCATTATGTAATGAGCATCTTGCTTATGGCCTTAAATTTACAGCCCAAAACTCACAAAAGGGGCATCGACAGCTCTCCCTTGCCTGTGGCAGTGAAACAGACTAGGGGGAGTGCTCAAACTACCTAAAGGGTTAATAGATCTGCCCACTTCTTTGATTACATAAGTTGTATTTGGTGTGTTGTAAATGCATGGCTCCCAAGTTTCAACCTATCAATGTATATATGAAGGACCATATACAATGTGATGTGAATAATCTGTGGTCATTTTGGTTGGCTTTGTTGATTGCTGTGTTGCAAATTTATTTGGTCCATTGTCATGTGCCCCCATTGTAAGCAGCATGTAATGGACCACTTGCCATCATAATGGTCAGGTTTGGCTAGATTATAGCAAATATGTGATATTTTATCTAAGATATAGTGCAAATGTGTAAAATATTATGTACAAATACCCATTTTTGGCAATCTTTCAATGACACATGGGTGGCATTGGCAGAGCTTATAATGGAAGTGTGAACAGCCACCCTTAACATGTATTATAAGGTTCTTATCACGTGCCCAAGAAATTTGTGACATGTTACCCCAGCATTCAAAAGCTCTTGGAATGTGGCACTTGGATTTGCCAACAATATATACAGCTATTCATTTGATCATTTTAGTGAGAGATTCAGTGGTATTGGAAATTTGTATATCCTCATCTTTTTTCACAAGCAAAAGGCCAAGGAGATGAAACATACACACTTTCACTTTTGTTGACAGTATGTTTATGCCCCTCCTGCACTGTACTTACATACTGACCATTATCAACAGGTCACTTTCATGCAACAAGAATCACATGTCAGCAATGGGCCATCCCTGCCACGACCTCCTACAGGCCCACTTTGTTTCTGAAAAATTCCTGGCTTTACCATTCATAAACGAAAGGCTGAGGAGATGGAATCCACATCTACCCACTGCCACACCAAGATTTAGTTGGACATGCACAGTGCACTCCATTTGACTACCCACATATTCACCACTCCCAACCCTGTCCCCAAACCTACTGCTGTGCAGCCTGGGGTTGCATACCATCGCCTAGAGATTCCTGAGTGTATGGGCAGACTGCCATCTGGTGTTGACCTTGGAATTTTGGGTACAGAGCCCAGACAGACAACTGAATATGTAAGTGAACTTTTTGTGAGATTGGACACAACTTGGCTGATGTATTGATTAGGACTTACTGCTCCTCATGTGGTCAAAATTAGACCATGAAGACTACTTATCAGAGCTACTCAGGCTGGAAGGTAGATGTGGTGTTTCTGGTATCTGTCCTGACTGCAAGCTTTGACTGGCTTGCTTCTGCTGTGATGATTGCCTTGGAGTTGACATGTACTGCCAAGAATGTGTAGTGACTTGTCATGGAGATCACCCATTGCACCATGTGAGGGTAAGTGGTAATACACTTGGAAGAGTATCATACTTATACTATTGACAGGAGTGGAATGGCAGATACTTCACAAGCAAAACATTGAAGGAGTTGGGCTTGATTGTGCAGTTGGGCCATCCTATTGGCAAAAGGTGCTGCAGGCCCCAGTCTGTCCTGAAAGATGAGTTTGTTGTTATGCACAGGAATGGGATTCACATTGTCAGCCTTACCTTCTGTGGGTGTGAGACCACAGATTCATATACATGACAATTGCTGTGCATTTTCTGGCTCCCTGCAACTTCTGATAAGCCCCACACTGCAGCAATGTTCTGAGTCCTGGAAGACTTTCATCTCCTGTCATTAGAATCCAAGCTTTCTTGTTACAAGTTTTACAGTGCCTTGTCACATTGTTCAGATAATACTGAATTAAATCCACCTAAGGTGCATTGCAGTTCATGTTGTAAAGTTTGTGCTCAGTCGTGTCAGGCTCATTACAAACAGTTTTTGAGAATGGTCCATCAATGGTGCCACCTCAAGATGCTCAAATGTTCAGGACAAGGACATGATCCTGCTGGTGTTTTGAATACAAAAGAAGGCAAATGTGCAGTGTTATGTGCAGTGTGCCCTCAACCCAGGAAGAACATGATGGGGTCACCAGAAAGGTTAGCTATATCTTAACTCCAATATTCGACTAAATTGTTATGTAGAGATGTTGACACACTTTTTGTCACTCTTGATGCCAACTTTTGCCTCAGATGTTGTGCAGTCTCAAATAATGAGAACAATCCGAGCCTCAGTCAGGGCTGGGCATATTCTGTGGAGGACACCATGTTCAAGAGATACTTAAGTGACCACTGGCATGATATCCAAGAGGTATGCAGTCATCCACTGAACACACTTGCAAACATTTATTTTAATCCAGAAAAGCATGTGCTCAAATCACAATGCAGTGAATATGGCAGATGCGAAGTCAAAGAAGGGTTGTGATGCAACTGGCATTGGCATGGTTGTTTGTGCCAGGCATGGCATGAGGCTCCAAAATGGGATAGTTGACCTACAATATGGTGAAAGGTGTGTATCATTTACATCCAATGTGATATCATTTCATGAGCATAAAACATACAGATATGTGAATATGGACTATGCATTTGCATCTGCACTACACCACTCAGATGTGACTGTCCTCAAAGTTTCATATGACATTGCCTGCCAGTGGCACAAGAAGTTATATCAGCAGATGGACCAGATGCCACCTTCTTTACAGTCAAACTTACATGATTGGGCTGTTACATTTCTCATACCCAAGTTTCACCTTCCTGCCCACATCACCTCATGCAAATGGTCCTTCTCCTTCAATTGGACCAAGGGTGTTGGTCAGACAGATGGTGAAGGACCTGAGTGTAGATGGGCAAACCTTAACCTGCTGCTTCAAGCATGAAGACCATGGGCCCTGGTCATCATCGAGACACACTGGATGACTACTTTGGTGACTGGAACTGGAAAAAGCTTATTGGACTGGGTTCACTACCATTTCTGTTGATTCACTGAGGACTGATTTACCTCCCATTCATTGTAGGCACTTCTATTCTTAGGAAGGTAAAGGAGGCCATCCCTGAGCACAATGATCATCAATGTGACTTTGAAGAATTAACATGGTGGCTCAAGCTCGAGTTTCCTGAGCAACTTGCTCTATGGAAGCAGCAGGTAGAGGACTGGGAAGCCAACTTGACCAAGCCTAATCCATTTGAAGTGAAGAATGATGGTATGTACAGTCTCAAACAAATTTTTGTTTCCCTTCAATTCATCTATACTGTACCTTCACAGGTATCATGCAAGCTAGTATCTGTTACAATTGGTGAAGGCTGAGGCTGATGCACTTGCAGTGTCACACACCAAAGGTGTTTGGTGAGGTGGACATGGATACAGCTGATGAATGGAGATGAAGACCATAGCCCTCATGCAAAGAAGGACAGCCAGGAATGTCAGCAGTCACCCCTTGCACAAGAACAAGTCATCAGTGCCAGAGAAAAAGAAAGGGAGTGAGATAAGTGCTGGCTAAAATTCTTAAGCACCTGTGTATGGCATTCCAGTTTTCAACATATCTCTGCCATTTCTGCAGATACAGAGACCATTCCCACATTCACTTGTAGTGCTCAGCCATGCGATCTTACCTTCCAAAATTGGAAAGGATTTGCACACTCCACACATTTCTACAGCACTCCCTCCAAAAGACACTCATTTCACTAAGTTCTTCTGATATGGCTGCCTCTACATCAATCATTTCACTTGTCCCCTTTGCTAGGGACCATGGCTACATATACCAACCAGGAGTTCCTACCAGCTTCTGTCCTGAAGCATCCTGGTACATCCCACCCTTGTCTGTGCCCTCTCAGCCCATCCAGCTTGGACAGCATGTTCTTTTTGTCAGTATGACCTCTAGGAGGATGTTCTTTGGTCACCTCAGGTCTGTCATTCACTTGGAGAGGTCTTATGTGGTCGTTTCAGTCTCTCCAGTCCAAGAAGCATATGGGTCCTTCCTCCCTGCTCCCTGCAATGTCTTCATACCAGTCTTGTCCATCATTCTTCCAAGATTGCAACAGCTACAGTATAATCTACTGTTCCCCACTCTCCCTGATCGCATCCATGATGAGTATGATGCACATCTTGCCTCCTTGTTGCAAGATACAGCAGAAGACACTCCCCCTTCATCCTCTCTTCCAACAGAGCCTTGTTCATGAAGTTTTTATTTGCTTCACTGAGAGGATGGTTTAGGGGGGAAGGTTGTGATCCCCTATGCTCCTGTCACCCCAGACCCCCAAAGCTTGACCCCTGTTGACATCTGACTCACCCTGTCCACTTTTGGATGTACTATATTGGCATCAGATCAGCACTGCCTCTCTGTCATCCCACCTTGGCCTAGCAGCAATCTCTTTGAGATGTGATATGCACAGCCTCCCCTAATGCGATTCCAGTGTGCTTTCCCAGTTCCTGATATCACTTGACTCATACTTTGACATTCTGACTGTCTTTGACTCACCTATTGCCAATACTTACCAATCTTTTGACTTTGCTTACTGATTCTTTGCTTTTTGGCTTGCTAATCCTTACCAATGCTTACCAATGCTTTCCAAGACAATTACCCATTGCTTACATTCCTTACTCATCAGTTACCAATCACTTACCAAGTGTTTGCACCTTGTTTTCCAAGGGCAACACCCCTGTACTGTATATAAATCACTGTACTTAGATAGCAAAAAAAGAAGACATCAGAGAGCCCCTCTTGCTCACATTTTATCATCACTCAGTAATTCATTCAGCAGCTTTGATAGTTGAGACTTTATTAAGGGTCTAACTATCATCTACTTCACTTATCCTTGTCTATCATCAATATACTTTGCTCCAAGCCCACCCTGAGCTCAGTGCAGCTTAGGACATTGAATTAAGTCATCATCCATTCTTATGTAGGCTGACAGCAGTCTACCCTATCGCATTCTCTCATATTCCTGCTCCTTCTTCATCAGGAGCACCCCCAACCCTCAGCACTTGTCTTTGAGTGTTGTAGCTTGCAAAAACCCTCCCAAAGAACAGGTTCTACCATCTAGGTACCACATAGGCACACCACCACTTGCTCTTTTTGTCTTTTGTGTTGGTTTTGGTTGGTTTTCACCACTGAACCACACTTTGACTCACAGTGGGAGGGAGTGAGCTCCTACTACATCCAGATGTAACCCCAAGTGTTCTCATTGGCACTGGGATTGACCTAGAGGATCAGCAGTAAGTCACCCTCTGTGGGACATCTGTTGATCTAACTCCTGCAACATAGACAACATCTGTGTGATGCCACTGAGCTGGCATCGTGTGTCATGGATATGCACAAACTCAGGGTTCAACAATGAAGCAATGCACTGGTGAGGCAAATTGAGGCATGGCAAAAACTTCAAGTCCTGTTTATGCCTGGTGTCAGTGCCCTCTGGGATGAGTGGCCAGAGTTTGCCAGTCGACCTCATTCCCCAAAGGATGTCCCATTGTTCCTCCCATTGCAAGTTAGTGGCAAAGTCACATGTCCACTGAAATTGGCAATGATTGAACTTTGACTCAGGGAGGGTCAAGTGCACGATGCATTGAATGATCTGCACCAGGGTCTTTGATCTCATGCATACATGCTCAAATTCAAGGATTGTTTTTTACATGGTCAAGGAGCCAACACCTGTGCACAAAATTGTCTCAAAGCCCTAGATACCAAGATAAATACTGCTGCTACAAGGTATCATGTAGCATATCAAGCATTAACCATTCTCACCCCCCTGGTTGGACAAGTTGGGTGGAGGGACAAGCTTCACCCACTTGTGGACAAGGACATTAGTGCACTCACAGATGCTTATGACCTCTGGCGTGGAGAGGGACAGCACTGTGTTTCTTGGATTTGGCAGTTATACAGGTACAGTGATCACATCACAGAGAAGGAATGAGATGATGGTTTTCAGGAGGGTAAACATCTTCTAGCAGCCTCATCAACCTCACTTTAGTGCTAATCTTAACTCCATATTAGCCATCCATGTGGAGTGGTGCAAAGCATGTGCACACACACACCACTGGGAAGAGGAGGTTAGGCTACTATTTGAAGAAAAGCAATGTGCATTACAGTTTCTTGAGTGGCATGCAAATTGGTGGATGGGCCATGCTAGTGCCATTGCAACAGGTGACAAAGCTCTCTCTGATGGGTGTCATGCATATGCCAAGCATCAGGCAGGGCTTCAGCATCAGCTCACAAGGTCATTTGCTGATATGTGGAAGGACACACAGTGTTTCTTGGATGTTGCTGATGCTTATAGTGTATCTCCCTCTCCTATGCTCTGAAACATCTTAGTTTCTATCTTACTGCTTTGTAACTGTGAATTAACTGTGACCATGAGTATCTGTGTATTGTGCACAGCGCCATAGTGCCATAGGGTAGTGTTGCTGTTGCATTATTATACTAATCTTATTGCCATCTATACTACACATGTTGCAACACCTGTTGCAATGTCTATACTACTTTTGTTGCAATGTGTTGCAGCACCTTGTGTATTGCACATGGTGCCATAGTGCCTAGGTGTTAGATTTGGCAAGTCTGAGTCATGAGAGTCACTTTCCATTTTAAGGCTTTATTTCATATAGTACTACTTTTGTTGCAATGTGTTGCAGCACCCATTGCAACATCTATACTACTTTTATTGCAATAATATTGTAATAATTCATGGTTGATGTGCCATCGTGAGTGGTGCAACAGAGCCCAATGGTAGTTACCATGTTAGTTGCAACAAACTGGCATGAACTTGTGACCTATTCTACTACATGCAAAGGTACCTGTGCTCGAGCATCATCCCTACCCCAAAGCCCAACAATGCAGCATGGCACTGAGATTGTTGGTGTGTCCCCTCTACTGAAGCTGACCCTGCTCAGGAGTCAGTACTCTACCCCAATTGAAAAGCCTGTTGCTGATAACATCTGGAGTTATAGTGATGTGGTAAGGTCTGGATCAAGGAGCTCTAGTCTAGTTCCCCAAAGTGCTACCATTGACATTCCCAGCTTGAGGACTAGCTCACTGGTGTATCCTGGTGACATTGGAGTCCTGGAGGCCTCACAGGCTTGTACTGTTAGAGTCCTAGTAGTAACTCATAGTTTGAATGATGTCTTACCTGATAACATCCACTGTGACTCTTTATCCATCTTCCCAATGAGTGATATGGAAGTGGAGCAGAATGACTGGACAGAAGTGGTGTGTAAGAAGTTGAATGAGCAATGAGCCCACAGCATGTTAAGGCTGGACCAGACAAATGCTGTCTGAAGGGCAGAACAGCAACTGACCCTGGATGAACAAGAGAAAATCTGGAGGAGGTTGTTGTCGATGATGAGGGATAACCCTGAAGCAACCTTGTCCAAAAGTGATGAGCCCTCTGTCAAGGAGCCCATGCACCTGGTTAGGCTGTATGAGATGGTCAGTGGAGGCTGACAATTGGCTGTCAGTGATGGGCCAGCAGAGGTTGAGCCCATGTATGGCTTGTGCACTGTGTTACATGAGAGCCATGAACCTATTGTCACCTTGTAGTATGGGAGAGCCCAACTGATGAGTGTCACCATGCAGTACAGCTGAGCCTGAGAGGAAATGTTGTCATGAGGAATGGTGCAGCTGTGGTTTGAATTGTCATTGTCAGTTACAAGCAGGCTGGGGAGTAAGTGTCATCATGGACTATGGGAGAGCCCAATAAATGCATGTCACCATAGCATACAGCTGAGCCCAAGAGTAGGAGTCAGTATGGAGAATGGCTGGGCAGAGGTTAGAATTGTCATCATGGGGTACAAGCCAGTTGTGGGATTAGGGTGTAGCCACTGCAATATGAGTTGTCCCAGGTAAGCCCAGAGTTGGGTGTCCCTGGAAGGTATGGATGGGCTCAGCTCCTGAGTTTTTTGTGGGTAGGGGGAGAGCAGAAGGCTACTCAAGTTAGCCTAGACACAAAACTGTGTAGGTAGTGAGTAAAGAAAAGTATACTGTAGTGGTGAAGAGACACTGTACCTCAGACTTGAAATGACAAAGTCTGAGATGTAAGGTAAGACAAAGTGTAAGCTAAGTACCTAACATATTACCTACTCAACTCAGTGTAAACAGGATGGCACACTGTGCACCAACACACCCCCTCAATGAGATGAGTAGTAAAGAACAATGTGGCTAGACACTTGTATGTCACATGCATACCTCTGAAAACCTGTACTGTGGTAGTGTAGGTGTAGAAACACAGTCAGCATTGTATTGGAAAGAAGGTGAAGTGTTCGGATGAGCAGGAATTTGAACTGTGTCTATGGTGGTCATTGGGTGTGCATGTGGTCAATATGGCTTGTGTGTATGGTGTAAAATATGCACATTTATTTCTCGTGGCTGCACTGCCACACCACTGCGCCCATTTGACCACATCATTACCTTTCACAGCCACATGGCCACACCACTGCACTCATTTGACTGCATTTTTATGTGTTGTGGCCACACAACTGCATCACTGCACCCACTTGACTGCATTGTTGTTACTTTGTGCAGCTACACAACTATGTTATTGTATAATACATAGATGATATTTCCTGTGTAAACTCAGTACAAACCCTACACAATATGTCTACTCTCTGCTGCCCTTCCCACTGTAGAAATATCTGTAGGCTACCTCAGTAGTGAACAAACTACTGAGTGTATTACTGTACCTGTAGGCTACTACAGAATGTCAGTATAGTAGAATGCTTGTAATATAAACAGACTTACCCTCAGTAGTGAACAAACTACTGAGGGAATACTAGTAGAAAATACTACAAGTATGTGCGCTATTTCAGCTTATGTAAGCAGCCAAAACATCGCACAGTGGTTAAGTACCACAGGGGCACTTTATGTTCCAACACCCACTTCCCTATGCATCAGTTCTGATAATGGCAGGTGTGATAGGAGAAAAATAAAATAAAAAGCAGACAACTTTTTGATGTTTCTATCTGGCCACTGTGTCCTCTTTAAGGTGCCATATGTGCCTACAACATATTCAACACTCATAAGGTGTGGTGGGGTACTTCAGGTACAGTGACACAATCTCAGCTGGAAAATGATTTCCTAGGCATTCTGGTGCTAAGACTGTAATTGTACATGGTATAGTAGTTCCACTGAGTATATTGGCGCAAATTTAAACCTGCTATCAAGTATCCAAGGGTTCCACAATAGCTGGAAAGGATGTCAGGCTTAAACAAAGAAGTGTCTGCATTTCTGATACACCTGATGTGGGCACTCAAAAAAGGCGCCCCCTTGGAGGGGGCCTCTGTACCTATAACATACCAATACCTCATTACATCAGGTGGATTCCTTGAGGTGTTATGCCATAATCTCCTCCTTCTGGTATTTAAGAGTTTTGACAAGTTCCAGGGTATTTATTGCCAATGTAACTATCTAGAAAGGTTTGGAATACTCAGAAGAAGCCCCTACAACATCCCCAAGTCCATACCTGCAGGGGGGAATACTGGGAAAGTGAAATAGTCACTCAGGAAGCATGTGAAAAGGCACAAAAAATTGTGCAGATTCTCAAAACATATCAAAAACATGTAATAGTACACTGCACCACTCAGTGGAAGGTAGACTCAAGATTTTCACATCAGGTGTCAAGTCCAGGGTGGCCAGGTTCAAGACTGGACTGGAGACTGGTGAGAGTGCAAGGCCAAGGAGTTGGGAACAGAGAGGGGGCAGCAGTTGGATGGTGGACTGATTGGACATAGTGACTGGAGACACAGTGCTATTCCCTTGCAGGGGTTGCAGTCTGAGTCTGAGGCCAAGATGAGAGTCCAGGACTGAAGAAGTACAGGCCAAGTATCTATGAGCTTATATACTAGAGGTAGCTATAGTTCAGAGATTGGCAATGCTGGTCTCACAATGATTGATAATATGATTGGTAAGAACAGTATTAGTAAGGCATGACAAAGGTGACCAGAGACTGGGAGAGAGACGAGGGTGGACCAGGGATGAGGCTGGGTCAGGCTCAACCAAAATGACACTTCATAGTAGCACTGCTTTGTAGTGCCACCCACTGTGAGGAATCTGCATTCCCTAGATGTGTAAGCCCCTATTATCAACCATTTTGTGGCTATCATTATGTCTCCATACTGCTTGCACCCACCACTGTTCACATGCTACCTTCCCACACCCTTTCACCCTCTCACACACTGCTATACCTGTGGTCACTTTGTTCTGGTCACTTCCTTTCCTTCAGACTCTTTCTTTTACCATGGTCTGTGTCTATGCTGCCTGCCTTGCAAACCACTGTGCATGAACTATGTATACTGCTTGCATTGCCAGTACTACACTGTGGAACACACTACAAATGCCACAAAACACTACCACTACAAAGTGCTGAGTCCTGCCTTCTAGTTTCAACAGTCCAGAATTCTTTGAGACAAGCAATTCATTCCCTTCATTTTATTGTTGTTATCTAAACCAACTAGCTCATGTTATACAGCTACTTGGATTTTCCTTACACCACACTAGACCAACTGGGGGTAGAGGTTTGGCAAGGCTGAGGCCAGACTGGGTGAATGTGAGGCTGAGTCTGGCCAGGGTCAAGACATGGCTATGACATCAGGTATGACTTCATACTACATATATAGCAACATAATTTAACTACTTGAGTCACCATTCCCTGTCCTCCTGGTGCATCAATTATGATAATTTCAGCATAACTGTGATGCAAGACTGCCTAACTCCCTCCTACCAGTAGTGATGCATCAATGTACTAGTAACACAGATCTGAGATCTCCCCCCCCTTAGGAGTTTCTTTTCCACAAATCCCCACAGGTAATTTTCATTACTCCTCTGCATTTTATGTGATTACATAAGCATAAAAACACTGTAGGGAGTTGTATACTCCCTGAGGCTGAAGCAGGATACCATCAGTTAATTCCACCACCTCTAAGGCAAGCCCCTATCAGTGTTACCCAGTTTGTTGCCTTTGGAATTCTCTCTGCTTGTCACCACATGTATTTTCCTATCCCCTGTCAGCTTCAGAATTTCCCCTGGCCATTAACATGCCATCCAGAGCCATCAGAACATTGATCTGCAATTCTGCAATTGTGTCACCCTAGCCACTGCCCCACCATGTTACCAGTCAGTCTTGTCAGATGTCAGTAAAAAACTCTGGTTACCCCTGTTGCCCCAAATTCTGCAAACCTTACTTCACATTCATATGCTCTTCCCTTCAGCACCACTGCCTCTCCCTACAAACTTTGCCTTTCACATCTCATAC